ATAAATTAAAACAAAAACTAAAAAGATTTAATTATAAAAAAACATGAAAAAAATCTAAAAACAATAAAAGTCATAAAAAAATTTAAAGAAAAAGCTAACGAAAATGTAAATTATAAAAACAAACTTCGAAATTTTAAAGYACACAAATTAAAGCACAAAAAAATATGTAATTGAAAAATATAMAAAGAATAACCAAAACTTCCAAACGGAGGTGAAAAACTGACATCAAAACGAAAGTTAAAGCAGACTGCAAACCGAAAATGAAACGGAAACAGACATCAAAAYAGAACAGAGATCAAAGAGGAAGTTAAAACAGACTTTGAATCGGAAACATAACGGGAAGACGCTCAAAACGGATACAGACACCAAAATGTAAGTTAAGGCAGACCGGAAACAGAACGTAAGCATACTTAAAAACGGAAGCATACATCAAACCGAAAGTTGAGGYAGACTTTAAAATGCAAGCATACTTCACGGAAGTTAAAATAGACTTCGAACTGGAAACGAAACAGAACCAGACTCAAAACGGAAACTGGCAACGAACGGAACTGAAAAAGTAAACTGACATCAAAACGGAAGCTACATCAGACTTCAAACCAGAAAGGGGACAGAAGCAAACTACAAAACGTTTTAAAATGGAACGTATTACTCATTTATCACCAACTTAGGCAGGAATTCAAAAAATTATAGCATACTTTTAGGCGCTTGCGTTTTGTATGAGAAAATATACAATGTATAATAACTGTTTTAAAAGGAAATTTCATAGAGCAACTGCTAGCTGCATCCTTCCATACCAAAATGGTTAAGAAATTTAAGGAATATTAAAMAAATTAAGCCTTAACTAGCAACTCAGTGGTTTTGGTAAAAAAAAACGGATTATTTTCCACCATAGTTGACCTACATATATCACTTATGTTGAGCATTGGGTGTCTTAATTGGTGTTTTAGGTTATGCTAAGTTTAACAAACACTTTGCCTTCATTTTTTCAACTGATTTGTTTTATTTATGCTTTCCGCACTACTAAAATCAACTGCTTAAAGCTGTTCAAAACATACTTTTCACTTTTTTACAACAAATTTTTGTTTGCTGAAATCACAATAAATGATATAATTAACATTGTTATCTACACATTACCAAACAAGCATTATTTGCTTTCTTTTTGCACAATATTTAATTAATTAAAATGGAAGAAGAACAAATAGTTTGTAACAAACAAATTTTTCAAATTAGGCTACTGCTGTTGTTGTCATTATTATATAATATGTGTAGGTATTTTCAATATTTTGCAAGTAAATTTTTGTTTTTTTTTTTTTGTTATTTTTATGATGATCAGTAGTAGTTTTCACAAAATGCCTGCTTTTAACACTATTTATCATTGCATATTGCTCCAAAACTTGCTTATTTAATTAATAGTTGTTATTGTAGCGCGATTAGGCTCGTCAATATTTCCCTTGTGTATTTGTTTGTGTGTGTGATTAAGTTCGTTTGCACGTTATTGCTTAACTGCTGTATAAAGTTAAAAGGCATTTATTGTATTGCTTAGGCAAAGTAAATAGACAATAGAAATAATCAGTTACCTCACAATAAACAAATCACACTCAAATGAGCAGTGCTAAAAATTAAGCGACATTGCAACAATTTTTTGCATTTATGTTTATATGTATGTATTTATGTAGTGAACATGATACTTCTTCTTTATACTCTTTCATTGGAGTTTTTGGATTTTTTGTTTGTTTGTTTTAAATTAAGTTAATCGCAGTTTGAGGTTACGCATACACGATTATGTATTATATTTGATATAATTTAGTGCATAGTTGAGTTGAACAAATCGTATTTGCGACCAAACGAAAGTAATATTTATTCATATTGTTAGCATTGTAAGTAAACGATAAAAATTTGAAATCAAAATAATGCTGCACACAAAAAATTACAATGTTGGGCCATCCGAGTAGTCCTCGTAATCATCACAATCGTCTAAGAAGTCTGAAAATAGGTCGGGACTAACATCGTAGCCCACACGTATTTCAGAATTCTCAATGTCAGCAGCCATTTGACGTAAGTTATCCACACCAGCGAGAAGTTGCCTGTCAAAAATGAACAGTTAAATTCAMTTCAAGTTAAGAACTAAAYACAAATARTAGGTACCTSAGGTTGTTTTCCGCATTTGATGCTGCCCTCAGCAAATCTCTCGAAAATTGTTGTGTTCTGGACGGTCGCCCCACTGTGCCAGCACGCACACCCGCAGCGGCGCCTGCAGCGGCATCTACACTGGCGGCGCCACCACCASCACTCGCGTCCGAAACAAATGGACGCGCACGATCACAGTATGGTACATTGAAGCCGCCGACGGCGCCCTCTTCGCGCAGCATCTCATTTTCATGACGCAACGTCTCCAATTCGGACTGCACAAATTTGCGTGTGTTAGTATTAAATATATCTTTTTAATAGTTATTTAGCTTACCGTCAACTTGGCCAGCTGTTGTTTCAGCTTGATGACATGATTTTGTGACGTTGCGCCCGTTGCTGCTGCTGCGTTGGTGCGCGTGCGTTTACTTCTTTCCGTTAAACTGTCGACGCGCTCAGTCGTTTGCAGCTCCTCAAGCCTGTGTTGTTGCAGTTGCTGCAGTTCACTGGCCTGCAACTGACGTTCCAAGTCGTTAGCGCGCCGCGTCTGTTCATTAAGTGCTATGCGCGCGTCATTTAATTCGCGCTGCAAACGATCGTTTTCGATGCGCAGCCGCGACAATTGTGACGAGATCGGCGGGTCATCTGGCGAGCCGATGGAATTAGATGGCAAACCGACAGCCACATCGGCCAGTCGCTGTGAAGAGTGTATTATTGGGCCGTCCGAGAGAAAATCTGGCAGCATTTTTGCRTTACTAGCAGTGGACTCGGCTGTTGCACCACTGCCGCCGCCGCCGCCGCCGCCACCGCCATACACAGGCGAAGGGCCGGGTATGCCGATACCAGCACTCACGCCATTACCACCAGCCACATCGCATACGTTGCTGTTGCCAACGCCGACGCCGCCACCAATTGCACCACCCGCCACATCAACATCGCTGAAATCACGTATCGGCGAATTCGGCGGCGAATTGAGATGCATGTCGTGCGCATACCACGAGTCAAGCCAATGATCTTGTACGAAATCTGGCAAAACCGCGGCGGGAAATTCACCGGCATTGCTGGGCAGCGGGCGAGTGACTGGTGGTGCGGCCGCCACCGCAGCACCGCCACAAGCACCGCTATTTATGTCACTGAGTGGCAAATTCCCTTTCGGTTTGGACGAATTTGTGTTTAAGGCAAGACGTGTGGGACGCGCTTCCCTCATGCCGGCGTTAGCGCTAACGCTTGGCGCGCCTGTACGTCGACGCGGCGATGACGTTGAGGTTGACATGGGCATTTCATAGTTTGAATATGAGCGCGGCACATATTGTTGCCGATCGTATTCAYTCGCATTATGTATGTTGTTGCCTATGCTCGCACCACCATCACCCATGCCGCGGCTGCTGCGTGAAGACGTCGAGAAAAGATCTGTAAAACACAAGCAACAAACAAAACTAATAAGAAAAAAAAAATAGTACAAATGTTTTAAGATGTTACCACTACTCTCTGAGTAGGGCAGAGCAAACAAATCTGTAAGCATAAATAAACCAAATAATAAAAAATAAAGACACAATAAATATAAATTTAAAAATAAGCAAATGTTACCGCCACTCTCTGGATAAAGCCGAAAACCGGAGTTTGCGTTTGCGCCAACACCTGCACTTCGCACACCACTCGGCCCAGTGCTGCTGACCCCCTCTGCTTCACCRTCTGCACCGCTGGTCACATATTCGGCCAGACTTGCTTGCGAGTCAAACGATGAAAATCGTGGAGAACGCTTCATTTTTGTGGCTGATGTACCAAACGAATTGCTACCGTCAGGTTGGCTTGCACTATTGGTTGCTGACAAACCGCCAGTCATAAGCGATGATATTGATGTACTGGAAAGCGAAGCTGACTGAGGAACTTTTGGCCGTGCGCCAGTTGACGTTTGAATTGACACACCACTGCTGGACGCCGTTTTAACAGTATTTTTTTGTGGACCATTCGTGCTACTGGACGCCGATGTGTCTAATGAAGTGACTGTAACAGTGCTGGATGGTGCTGTAATCGGTGGTCCACTACTTAGGAAATGTTTAAAAGAAAATGAAGATGAATTTTGGGTTGGATGTGGCTGTGATGCATGTTGGCTAGTGATGCTGCTGCTTACAGGTTCCCACGTAGAACTGATATTTGTCTGTTGCATTGTGGCTATTAAAAACATATAAAAATAATAAAAATTACAATGACTTTTGTTTACAACTTACCATCTGCTAGGCCGCTGCTATTTTTACGGCCGTTTGTGTAATCACCATAACCACCATTATTGTCACTACCAGCAACTGGCCCATTTATACAAAGGTCCGCAACCAGGTCATTGAGCTTGCCACGCATAAAACTTGACGTAGACGCCCCAAATTGATTACTTCTAGAACTTGTACCGGCACAGTCTCCACCACCTGCACTTGTGACCTTGCTCTTGTCACCCGTTCTGGCTATATCTCCCACCATCAGATCGGCTTCACAATATGACCCCGCAGTTGGTATTTCTGTTGCATTCGATGTCGACGTCACACCCACAGATGCGTTAAGTGAATCCACACCGTTATTGTTGCTGCTGCTGCTACTACTACTACCATTGTTGTTGTTATGTTGCACCTCATCGTTTTCTTTTGCCATTATTTGTTTTTGTTTTGCACAATTCTGTTATTGTTGTTGCCGCTACGTTACTTTTCTTGTCGTTGCCCCTGTCTGCAGTTTTTTTCGTGATAGTTGCAATGGCAATTTTTCGTCTTTGTTCAGTTTCTCCAACCGCTGCTTGCACTTATTGCACTTTAACTGACTTTTATGTTTAAGCTATGTGTTTCCTCATAAAATATTCAAAAATTGTAMATTTATATTAATTGAGAAAGCGCAACAAGACTCGGTTTGATTTGAAAGTTTACAGAAAATTTCAAGAATTGTTAATTTTCTCAAATCTGAAAGGCCCTTCAGTCAGTGATGCCAGACTTGCCTAATGAATAATTTTGCAGAGGATTGTAATAATCATTGTGAACAACAATTTCTTTCAGTAAAACAATAGACCTGACTAAATTTAATCTTAAATATGTATGTGGAGGTCATTGATTATTGCATATTAACTTAATCAAGATTTAATAGGACTCAATTTAAATATTCCTAAATTAACTCAAAGTGCTTAAATTATAGTATATATAAATAATTTTTGTATATTCTTCTATAGTCTTCATAAAACCAAAACGCGATTAAGTTAACAAAATTAACGGTATGCCACAATGCTACTAATGTCCGATATCCATAAATATAGCAAGTTTCTTTCTAATGAAAAATCTCTCAATTTTTTGTCAATAATTTCCAATTAGCTGTGATTGTGATTCTGTCGCTAACTCTCAAAGAAGTTGATTGTGAATTTTTACAATATGATGAAGAAGCTAATAAACAAAATCAGCTGTTTACTTCATTAAAAAGTTTTTACAAATATAAACAATTTTTTTTAACGATTTTTATCAAGATGGAAGTTGTTCATTGTACTCCCTTAGAGGAGGAACTTTTACCAGAACGAGAAATTCATTGCACGTTTAATGGTTGTAAATCCGTTTTTACAAATGCTGGTAACATGGATATGCACCTACAACGGCATCATGGCAAAGAACCTAAGAAAAGATCAGATTTTACTGGAAAGGTGTGTGTTTTCCATTGTCCAAAAGTACAGTGTACATATCACGAACAACATGCTGGTAAATTGCATTTCAAAACACTAAAATACTTGCGACAACATTACAAAAAAGTGCATGCGTCTAAAATGAATATCTGTGATAGATGTGGAAAGGCTTTTATCAGTGTCAATCAGCTAAAGACACATATGGAAAAACTGTGCGGCATCAAATACACCTGCTTGGAGTGTGGTTGGGATTATAGCAGTAAAGAAGCACTATTGACACATGGTAAACGCAAAGGACATAAAGTGCGAGACAACGTTTTGGTTGAAATAACATCAAAACATCGACAAAAAACACAATCACAACAAATAGCAAACCAAAGTAATGATCAGGAAACGCAAACTGAAGGTAAGCRTTCAATACAAATTTTAAACGGTATTAATGTTATTCTATGTTTACCAACAGTTTTTCCTATGTCAAAAAATGTTACAAAGAGCGATATATCGACAGAAACAGAAGATTATAACGCATATAGTAAACATGCGTCAACGAATACACATTCACCTACTGATATTGAAACCCAAACAGAAAGTAATATGTTAAATACAATGGAACATACCATCTACAACACCTTAAATACAGCAATGAACAACTCGTTGCCAACTGTGCAGTTCGTGCCTCCTTCCACCCATACATACACACAAACATATGATGATTTGTTCACTGATTCTCTGCTGGGTTTCACTGATATTCAAACACAAACCAATTGGTCTAGTTTCGCTGATGCCGCCACAGACGCAGCAAGTAATGAAGACATTTCTGTGCATCACTACAACACATCCAGTGCAGGCACATGTACACGCTGTGCGTCCGATGAGTTGTTAGTGTCGACAGAAACACAAACCAGTTTCACGCAATGTTTACTCGAATCGCGCACAGCTAATGGTGACACAGAGGATGGAAACTTTAGCCTGTATCAAACTCAGCATACGCAAACTTGTGACATGCTACTGGGTGCACTTTTTGGGGCACAAGAGAGTGATTTGATTGCGGGGTTTCAATCCACCTATACGCAAACATGATGGTTCGACTTGGACTTGCATGTCATGGGAGATAGAGAGGAGCAAAGTTGGAAAAGTCAAGCCGAGTAAAATTAACAACAAAAAAAAATAAAATATATATATATGTATTTTATAACTTTTGCATATGTATTTTATTTTATGCATTATTAGAAAACTTAATTGATACTATTTATTAATATTAAATAAGCCTTCACAAAAAAAAAATACGATACGAAACTAATTAATAATACAAAATAATAAATATTTGATCTACTTTTGTAGCTTATGTGAATACATATAAATAATAAAAAAAAACTTATAATTAGAGATTTATTAACTAAAAGTTTCTCATTATTAATTTATTCTAATTAACTTTGGCCTTGAAGGTATGTAGCACGTATATATATTACAGAGAACGTTTATATATTATACGTTCTCTGGATGTAGTTTCCTTATTTGAAAAATATCGTAGCTCTTTGACATTTCTTATTCTATTACCGACTTTTGTCACATCTTTACTTTGACATTCGCTTCCATACGAACAAAACTACTCTTGAAAGCAAAAACGGATGAACGCCACATAGAGAAACGCATAAACAAAACAAACAGCGGTATTTGTAAAAGTGTTAAAAATACAGAAAACTCAATTTAGTTCTTTAAAAGAAAATTATTATTAATATTTACGAATTGTTAAAATAAAAGATCTGAATGAAATAATGTGCATGTGGTGAAAAGAAAGAGGGCAAACGTGCGCAGTTTACGCATTAYAAGCAGCTATTGCGTCGGGCGAAAGGTTTTGTCGTGTAGTTGTGTCCGTGTGTGAAAAAGGGGAGGGAATTGGTTTGTTAAATTGGACTGTGAAGAAAGTAGAAATGGTAGAAACTCTATCGTCGTCGCCGCCACCGAAAGATTTCGAAAAGTACTGCACAGATAATTCAAAGCAGATCTGTCGCTTAACGATTTCATTATCGAAATTTTAGTCCTTGCGATCAAAATACTATTGAAAATATGTTATGTGTGTATTTAAAATAAGAACAAAAACAACATAAGTGAAAAATAGTACAACTTTTAAATTGGGAATATTTACATACGAAAGCAAAAAAGCCAAAAACAAAAGTGTATACCTGGTTAAGGTGCAGCGCAGCTAAACGCTGGCATTAAAAAAACGCTGATAATACGGAAAACTGAGTAGCGTAAAAAACATATATACGGGTGAGGTCAAGTAGGCTGACCACTCGCACCGTCGTTTAAAACGCAGTCAGGCAGTCTGCTGCCTACACGACAATGTATGTAGGGTGAGGCTGCATCACAGTGAATTTATGCATTTTCGACTATCAAACAATTTAATATATGTACATATATACAGAAGCGGTTAAATTACAGTCAAGTTGACATACAAAGAGGCGGCAGTAAAGTTCTGCAATTCTACAGATCAACAAAATCAAACAAAAAAGAAAGCGGGCCATTGGCCAGTGATTGTTAGCTTTATATCCTGTTTCTGACACCGAAGCGTTGGTGAAAGGTGACTTCTAATAAAATACATATTTATGCCTTGTCTGTTTGACTGCCATATTCTGCTATTTATTTTAGTGCTTATAATGCAGCGAGTGAAATTGGGCGCCGATGAATTTACGGAGGCAAAATCATTATCCTGTAATCCAATATGGGTGTGCCGGATATTAGWAAAGCATAACTAAAAATTAATTTGCGCAGCAGCAACAGCAACTCACGATTTCTTGTGTTATAAATAATCAAGTTTAAAAGGAAGAGGCAAGGAAGAAAAATTAAGCTAACAAGCCAACAAGCCGGCAAGCCATATTTGGCCCACCCCGCACTTGTATTTACAACATTGACATTCACACACATGCTTGCACGTAAAAGGTAAAAATCAATGTCTATGCCTTCTCTAAAAATGTTGTTTTTATTGATATTTTTCGAAGTGCTGGTCATAAACGCAGACATTAGGACGACATACGGGTCATTTCAATATGGTTAATACAATATGGTCAACACCGCAATACAATAGTGTYTTATATAGCATATTGTGCTTTTGAAAAAATTTATTTGTGTTTGAAAAATTTTATTATAATATTTTTAAATAGTAGAGTGAGTTTTGTGGTAATATTTTTAAAAAATTTCGTTAAGATTCGAAAATCATAAACTAAAAGCTAATAGGGGAAATATTATAAATTTGGCGTGTATTTTTTCGAGGCAACGGCTCAAGATCCCTTGGAATTGTTTAGATCGGATCACTATAACATAGAGCTGCCATATAAAGTGTACTGTATATTTTGTTTTGTGAAGGGTATCAAGTTTTGTTATAACCGAAGTAAAAGTTTTTTCTCGTTTATTACCTCATTTTCAGATTTTGAGGTAACAGTTTACGTTCTGAATGAGGTTTAACTGCGTTTGGCCCTCTGCGCTCCGCTACGCAAAAAYAAACTGCGGATTTAATAGAAAATTCTCCGTTGCTTGCAAACTCTATTTTGCCAATGCCTAATAACGTTATAAAGACGAGCAGCGCCAGCGCCAGCAGTACCAGTAATGGGCGCAGCAGCAGCAGCAACAATAGTAGCAGCAGTAGTGCCAATGCCAATTCAGCAAAGTCAATTAATAGCCATAAAAATGAGACGAAAGCCTTGTCTGCCGCCTCGTCTGCGATGTCTAATTTTGTAGGATCGTCCAACACACTGCCAGACAAAAGCGTTATAATTAAACAATCAAACAACAACGAACGCATTGCTACACACCGGCGTGATGGTTCCAATATTACTGGTGTACAGCGRCCGCTATATCGCAAGTTACAATATATAAGCCCACAGAYGCATTTTCGACATGCTGCGGCAACATCGGAAGCCTTAGGTGATACGACGCTGCATGATAGTCGTAGCGATGTGCTTGTCTATTCCGAAGATGGACATTTAGTATCGGCTAGTTTAGAAGCACTCATCACACACATGGTGCCCACAAGCGATTACTACCCAGAGGAAAATTTCATATTCGCATTTTTGCTTAGCGCACGCCTATATGTGCGGCCGCATGAATTGCTTGCGCAAATATCACAAACTTGGGAGCGACAGCAGCAACAACAGCAGGAACTGAAACAGCAGCATAATCTACAGCAAGGCGTAGACGTGGTGGACGAAGCACATTTCAGTCATTTAGCCGTYGCTGCCTCAGCATCGCCGTTAATGCAACGTAAAGCCGCGAATAGTGCCGTTTTATTGCCAGCTGCAGTTGGCCATAATGAGGTAAACGTTATTGTGGAGGGTCACCTTAAGCAGCGTACTGCCATTCAGTTGAGTGCGCAGAATTGCATACGTTTGCTTGCCGAATGGATTGAGACGTTTCCGTATGACTTTCGAGATGAACGTCTAATGCAGCAGGTGCGCATATTAGCGCGGAAATGTGTCTACATTGATAATGCGCTCGGTAGGCGAGTGTCAAGAATTTTACAACTGCTTGTACATCGTCTCACAGTGCTAGAGCAATATGAGGCGACTTTGCAAGCAATGGCAGCTACTGATCTCACCACGGCGGGCAGTAATCAGCAACAACTACCGCAYTACAACACATCGGCCGCGGCGTCCACCACGGCGAGCACTCAAAGCGCCACGCACAATTCGCTAGTGGGTTGCGTTAAAAGTCATACACTGCACACAACCAGCATAACAGAGGCACACAAACCAACCACAATCACAAATAATTCAAATTCATTAGGCTCCGTGGCCGTGGCAGCAGTCGCAGCGGCCATAGATGGTAATAGCGCGCACGAAGTGCATGGCATTATGGACATATGCCCAAGTTGTGCGCAGTTGGCGCATCAGCTGACCGCCATTGAAYTAGAGCGGCTRTCACACATTGGTCCCGAAGAATTTGTGCAAGCTTTCGCCAAGGAATATCAACATGCTATTGATGGCAAATCAACAGCGACGACAACAACTAGCGGTGGCAAAAATGCGGCGAGCGTTGACTCCACGACGCTGAATGATATGAAGAAAACGCGCAACCTAGAATCGTACGTGGAGTGGTTTAACCGGCTGAGTTACCTGACGGCATCGGAGATTGTAAAGGTAACTATGAGCACAGCCCAGTGTGTCTTTGTGTGTGTGTGGCTGGGCACACATGCCAATTGGCTTAGTAACTTGTTTTAACTTTGTTGYATTTCATTTTTGTAGTATCCGAAGAAAAAGCAGCGTGTACGCATAATCGAATACTGGATAGAGACCGCGCGGGAGTGTTTCAATATTGGCAACTTCAACAGTTTAATGGCGATTATAGCTGGCTTAAATCTAGCACCCATATCAAGGCTAAAGAAAACGGTAAGTATGGACTGCTGGCAGAGGGGAGGGAGATTTACATATGAGTTGAACAGCGAGAGTGAGATTTAAAAAATGAAATAGAATTATTACCATTTTAATTTTTTTTTCTAATTATTATTTTTAATTAATTAAACAATT